TTTGTCAAAGAAAAAACAGTATCTCATGGCTTTATCATGTTTACTTTGTTAGAATTAATAGTCTCCATGAAATTCGAAATTTAAAAATTTAAGAGACATATTATTAAATTTGATTATGACACATTAACATTGGAGATAATTCAATATGAAAATAAAGCTAATATGAAAATGAACTGCTTCTGTTTACAAAAGAACCAGATTATTAAGCTTGATAATGACTCTTTCCTTTATTTTAAGAGAAAAACGAGACTTACATTTGAATTTGAAATTTGTGTATGCATCAGCAAAGATTTCATTCCAACAATGTGTGAGCCAATTGCTGAGTCACACTTTATTTCGTGATGTTATCTACACTTCTTAACAGGTAGTGCTAGCAACATGTTAAGACGCAATGCATTTATGATAACAAATTGTCAGGTGTCAACATCTGCTACGTTTAACCAAAAAAAGACAGCTACCAATTTGCAATTTTTTGCCATTACTTAAAAACATTATTTTAGACGAACTGGAATTTTCATTTAAATGAAATGTGTTAATTTTCACAAATAAAAAAGCTGCAATCTTAAAATTTTTCCTACAGGTAAAAAAAAGAAATTAATGTTAAAAAAAGAAAAAAAGAGAAATTTCATACAAAATAAATCATTGAGCCATTTCTGCAACTGCAAAGAACTATTGAACACACTTAGTAAAGTTGACATTTTCTAATAGGTAGCAGTGTGGCAGGCCCATAACCCAGAAGTCGATGGATCGAAACCATCTCCTGCTATAATGGTTGTTCTTGTTTTTCAAGTAATAAAGTTCATAAATGATTTACTAATAACTCAATTCTAAATTCCCTAAAAACAATAAACTTACCAATACTAAGTAAAACTTCATTAAGAAAAAAATCAGAGAAGACTTTCTCAGTAACAGCAAATGTTTGTCTTATAAATTTTTTTTTGATTACCATTTTGTTTATAAATTTAAACCTTTTCTGAATTTTAACATAATTACCAATTGTAATTGCATGGTCTTTTAGCTGAGAACAAAGAACATGGTGCAATTTACACCAATGTTAATAGTACAACTCTCTTACCGATTAATTTCTTTACTGATACTTTTCCTAAAAAATGTTTAATTTAAGTACAAATATTTGTCACAGAAAAAACAGTATTTCATGGCTCTATCATGTTTACTTTGTTAGAATTAATAGTCTCCATGAAATTTGAATTTTAAAATTTAAGAGACATATTATTAAATTTGATTATGACACATTAACATTGGAGATAATTCATTATAAAAATAAAGCTAATATGAAAATGAACTGCTTCTGTTTACAAAAGAACCAGATTATTAAGCTTGATAATGACTCTTTCCTTTATTTTAAGAGAAAAAGGAGACTTACATTTGAATTTGAAATTTGTGTATGCATCAGCAAAGATTTCTTTCAAACAATGTGTGAGCCAATTGCTGAGTCACACTTTATTTCGTGATGTTATCTACATTTCTTAACAGGTAGTGCTAAGAATATGTTAAGACGTAATGCATTTATGATAACAAATTCTCAGGTGTCAACATCTGCTACGTTTATCCAAAAAAGACAGCTACCACTTTGCAATTTTTTGCCAATACTTAAAAACATTATTTTAGACAAACTGGAAATTTCATTTAAATGAAATGTGTTAATTTTCACAAATAAAAAAGCTGCAATCTTAAAATTTTTCCTACAGGTAAAAAAAAGAAATTAATGTTAAAAAAAGAAAAAAAGAGAAATTTCATACAAAATAAATCATTGAGCCATTTCTGCAACTGCAAAGAACTATTGAACACACTTAGTAAAGTTGACATTTTCTAATAGTTAGCAGTGTGGCGCAGCGGGAGCGTGCCGGGCCCATAACCCAGAAGTCGATGGATCGAAACCATCTCCTGCTATAATGGTTGTTCTTGTTTTTTCAAGTAATAAAGTTCATAAATGATTTACTAATAACTCAATTCTAAATTCCCTAAAAACAATAAACTTACCAATACTAAGTAAAACTTCATTAAGAAAAAATCAGAGAAGACTTTCTCAGTAACAGCAAATGTTTGTCTTATAAAATTTTTTTTGATTATCATTTTGTTTATAAATTTAAACCTTTTCTGAATTTTAACATAATTACCAATTGTAATTGCATGGTCTTTTAGCTGAGAACAAAGAACATGGTGCAATTTACACCAATGTTAATAGTACAACTCTCTTACCGATTAATTTCTTTACTGATACTTTTCCTAAAAAATGTTTAATTTAAGTACAAATATTTGTCACAGAAAAAACAGTATTTCATGGCTCTATCATGTTTACTTTGTTAGAATTAACAGTCTCCATGAAATTTGAATTTTAAAAATTTAAGAGACATATTATTAAATTTGATTATGACACATTAACATTGGAGATAATTCAATATGAAAATAAAGCTAATATGAAAATGAACTGCTTCTGTTCACAAAAGAACCAGATTATTAAGCTTTGATAATGACTCTTTCCTTTAGTTTAAGAGAAAAACGAGACTTACATTTGAATTTGAAATTTGTGTATGCATCAGCAAAGATTTCATTCCAACAATGTGTGAGCCAATTGCTGAGTCACACTTTATTTCGTGATGTTATCTACACTTCTTAACAGGTAGTGCTAGCAACATGTTAAGACAATGCATTTATGATAACAAATTGTCAGGTGTCAACATCTGCTACGTTTAACCAAAAAGACAGCTACCAATTTGCAATTTTTGCCATTACTTAAAACATTATTTTAGACGAACTGGAATTTTCATTTAAATGAAATGTGTTAATTTTCACAAATAAAAAGCTGCAATCTTAAAATTTTTCCTACAGGTAAAAAAAGAAATTAATGTTAAAAAAGAAAAAGAGAAATTTCATACAAAATAAATCATTGAGCCATTTCTGCAACTGCAAAGAACTATTGAACACACTTACTAAAGTTGACATGTTCTAATAGGTAGCAGTGTGCGTGCGGCCCATAACCCAGAAGTCGATGGATCGAAACCATCTCCTGCTATAATGGTTGTTCTTGTTTTTTCAAGTAATAAAGTTCATAAATGATTTACTAATAACTCAATTCTAAATTCCCTAAAAACAATAAACTTACCAATACTAAGTAAAACTTCATTAAGAAAAAATCAGAGAAGACTTTCTCAGTAACAGCAAATGTTTGTCTTATAAAATTTTTTTTGATTACCATTTTGTTTATAAATTTAAACCTTTTCTGAATTTTAACATAATTACCAATTGTAATTGCATGGTCTTTTAGCTGAGAACAAAGAACATGGTGCAATTTACACCAATGTTAATAGTACAACTCTCTTACCGATTAATTTCTTTACTGATACTTTTCCTAAAAAATGTTTAATTTAAGTACAAATATTTGTCACAGAAAAAACAGTATCTCATAGCTCTATCATGTTTACTTTGTTAGAATTAATAGTCTCCATGAAATTTGAATTTTAATATTTAAGAGACATATTATTAAATTTGATTATGACACATTAACATTGGAGATAATTCATTATAAAAATAAAGCTAATATGAAAATGAACTGCTTCTGTTTACAAAAGAACCAGATTATTAAGCTTGATAATGACTCTCCTTTATTTTCAGAGAAAAAGGAGACTTACATTTGAATTTGAAATTTGTGTATGCATCAGCAAAGATTTCATTCAAACAATGTGTGAGCCAATTGCTGAGTCACACTTTATTTCGTGATGTTATCTACACCTCTTAACAGGTAGTGCTAGCAACATGTTAAGACGCAATGCATTGATGATAACAAATTCTTAGGTGTCAACATCTGCTACGTTTAACCAAAAAAAGACAACTACCAATTTGCAATTTTTTGCCATTACTTAAAAACATTATTTTAGACGAACTGGAAATTTCATTTAAATGAAATGTGTTAATTTTCACAAATAAAAGAGCTGCAATCTTAAAATTTTTCCTACAGGTAAAAAAAAGAAATTAATGTTAAAAAAAGAAAAAAAGAGAAATTTCATACAAAATAAATTATTGAGCCATTTCTTCAACTGCAAAGAACTATTGAACACACTTAGTAAACTTGACATTTTCTAATAGGTAGCAGGGTGGCGCAGCGGGAGCGTGCTGGGCCCATAACCATGAAGTCAATGGATCGAAACCATCTCCTGCTATAATCGTTGTTTTTGTTTTTCCAAGTAGTAAAGTGCATAAATGATTTACTAATAACTCAATTCTAAATTCTCTAAAAACAATAATCTTACCAATATTAAGTAAAACTTCATTAAGAAAAAAAATCAGAGAAGACTTTCTCAGTAACAGCAAATGTTTGTCTTATAAAATTTTTTTTGATTACTATTTTGTTCATAAATTTAAACCTTTTCTGAATTTTAACATAATTACCAATTGTAATTGCATGGTCTTTTAGCTGAGAACAAAGAACATGGTGCAATTTACACCAATGTTGATAGTACAACTCTCTTACCGATTAATTTCTTTACTGATAATTTTCAGGTTAGATGAGGGCAGTTATTCATATTAACATTGTTCAGATATGTAGCATCAAAGTATTCTAATTTTTCCAAGATAATAACTGGATATTACCTAGCAGTGCACAATACTGTCTAGATTGGTCGATTGTAAAGTCATATTTTAGCAATGTAAAACATAAATTTTTTTGACAGGATTGGTTTATGAAATTAAATTTCCAACATCCGTACCAAGCACATCAAAAAAGAAAATCAGTCAATCCCAGTTTTATCCCCAATCACTCAATCTTAGCCTTATTTTAGCAATGTACAACATAAATTTCTTGAAACAATTGTTAATGAAATTAAATTTCCAACACCAGTACCAAGTATATCAAAAAAGAAAATCAGTTAATCCCAGTGGCATCCCTAGAATTTTCTGACTAGGGGTGAATATGTAACCGTCAAATCTTCAAATATTTATACGATTTTTGTAAGTATTTACTTAATATAACCACGTCAATATCAGGTCTATTAGCTCAGTCGGAAGAGCGTGGTGCTAATAACGCCAAGGTCGAGAGTTCGATCCTCTCATAGACCATTTCCTATACTGATAGTTTTTCAAAATTGTTTAATTTAAGTATCAACATTTATGACAGAAATAAACAGTACTTAATGCCTTTTTTAGGTTTATTTTCTTTATATTAAATTGCCCTATATAAATTATAATATAAAACACTTAAGAATACTCAAATAATTACTAAGATAAAACTTTTAATGTTGGCAACATAAAGGGGCATTTAGGTTGTGAAAAAGTTTCATAAAGAAAAAGTTCTACACAGGCATCAATAAAACTTGTTCTAAAATATGAAAATATTTTTATGCGTTTAATGTAATAGTTAAACCTATATTGAAAGTTAAAAAGGAAACATAAATCCTTTTATTTGTTTTTTCATTTTAGTTATAATGTATATAAAAATTCATTGCTCATAGAACCTACGTTGAAAATCAAAATCTGTCACTTATATTTTCCACATCTACAAGTTACATGAGGGCGATTCCACATCTTACCATTGTTTTAGATATATGGTATAACACAATTGCTTCTGAGATAACAATTTTTGTATATGACCTAGCAGTGCACAATGTTTTGTAAATTATTTGATTATAAAGCCATATTTTAGCCATCTAAAACATAAATTTTTACACAATTTTGTTTAATCAATTTAAATTTCCCACATCAGTACCTAGTACATCAACAAAGAAAATCAGGCAATTGCAGTGACATTGCTAGTATGTTCTGACCAGGGGTGAATATGTAATCGTCAAATCTTAAAAAATAAATTTTCGATCACCATTTCACCATTTTGTTTATAAACTTAAACGCTATTTAAAATTATGTACATGGTACTTGATTAATATTGTATGGCTATTAGCTCAGTAGGAACAACTTGGTTTTATTACTGGCAAGGTCGATAGCTTGATCTTCTCACAGGCTATTTTTGTTAATGACAATTTCTAAAAATTCTTTAATATAAATAGTAACATTGAATTTAAAAAACAGTATTTAATACCTTTTTTATGTTCACTTTTTTGAAATGAAATCTTCCCATCAAAGTATATTTAAAAAAACTCGAGAAATATCCAAATAAGTAATAAAAATAAAACTGTTGACATCAGAATCATAAAGTGATACTTTAGACGGTGAAAAATTATAATAAAGAAAGAAATGCAACAAAAGCGTGAATAAAACTTGTTTTATAATATCAAAATGATTTGTATGTATAATGTATTAGTTTAACCTATATTGAAATTAAAAAAAAGTCAACAAAAAGCCTTCTATTTTGTTTTCATTCTAGTTATAATATAACTAACAATTGATTGCTTATGGAACCTACCTTGAAAAAGAAAGTCTGTCACTTATATTTTCTACATCTACAAGTGAGATGAGGTCATTTATTCATATTAACATTGCTTAGATATATGGCATCAAAGTATTTTCATTACTTCCGAGATAACAATTTCTGGATATGACCTAGCAGTGCACAATGTTTTGTAAATTAATCGATTATAAAGCCATATTTTAGCAATGTAAAACATAAATTTCTTGACAATATTGGTTAATGAAATTAAATTTCCAACATAAGTACCAAGTATATCAAAAAAGAAAATCGGTCAATCCCAGTGGCATCCCTAGGATGTTCTAGCTAGGGGTGAATATGTAACTGTCAAATCTTCAAATCTTTACACCATTTTGTAAAAATCTACTTGATAAAGCCATATTAATGTATAGTCTATTAGCTCAGTGGGAAGTGTGTTATGCTAATAATGCCAAAGTGGATAGTTCGATTTCCTCACAGATCATTTCCTTTACTGATAGTTTTTCAAAACTGTTTAATTTAAGTATCAACATTTATGACAGAAATAAACATTATTTAATGCCTCTTTTAGCTTCAATTTTTTTAAGTCAAATTTTCCTATCAAATTATAATTTAAAAAACTCAAGAAATATCCAAATAATTAATAAAATAAAACTGTTGATGTCAGAGTCATATAGTCATACTTTAGACGGTGAAAAATTATAATAAAGAAAGAAATGCCACAAAAGCGTGAATAAAACTTGTTTTATAATATCAAAATGATTTGTATGTTTAATGTATTAGTTTAACATATATTGAAATTCAAAAAAAGTCAACAAAAAGCCTTCTATTTTGTTTTTCATTCTAGTTATAATATAACTAACAATTCATTGCTTGTGGAACCTACCTTGAAAAAGAAAGTCTGTCACTTATATTTTCTACATCTACAAGTTAGATGAGGGCTATTATTCATATTAACATTGCTCAGATATGTTGCATCAAAGTATTTTAATTACTTCCGAGAAAAATATTTCTGAATATGGTCTAGCAGTGAACAATATTTTCTAAATTCGTCGATTATAAAGCCATATTTTAGCAATGTAAAACATAAATTTCTTGACAATATTGGTCAAGGAAATTAAAGTTCCAACATCAGTACGAAGTATATCAAAAAAGAAAATCAGTCAATCCCAGTTTTATCCCCAATCACTCAATTTCAGCCATATTTTAGCAATGTAAAACATAAATTTCTTGACAATATTGTTAATGAAATTAAATTTTCAATGTTAGTACCAAATATATCAAAAAAGATAATCAGTCAATCCCAGTGGCATTCTAGAATATTCTGACTAGGGAAGAATATGTAACCGTGAAATCTTCAAATCTTTATCCCGTTTTTCTAAGTATCTACTTGATATAAGCACCTCAATATACGGTCTTTTAGCTCAGTCGGAAGAGCGTGGAGCTAATAACGCCAAGGCCGACAGTTCGATCCTCTCATAGACCATTTCTTACACTGATAGTTTTTAAAATTGTTGAAGTATCAACATTTATGACAGAAATAAACAGTATTTAATGCCTTTCTTAGGTTTACTTTCTTTGTATTAAATTCCTCTATTAAATTATAATATAAAAAACTTAAGAATACTCAAATAATTACTAAGATAAAACTTTTAATGTTGGCAACATAAAGAGGCATTTAGGTAGTGAAATAGTTTCATAAAGAAAAAGTTCCAAAAAAACATCAATAAAACTAGTTTTATAATATAAAAATATTTTGTACGTTTAATGTAATAGTTAAATCTAAATTGAAAGTTAAAAAAAGGAAACATAAATTCTTTTATTTGGTTTTTCATTTTAGTTATAATGTATATAAAAATTCATTGCTCGTAGAACCTACGTTTAAAATCAAAATCTGTCACTTATATTTTCCACATCTACAAGTTACATGAGGGCGATTCCACATTTTAACATTGCTTTACATATATGGTATAACACGATTGCTTCTGAGATAATAATTTTTGTATATGATCTAGCAGTGCACAATGTTTTGTAAATTATTTGATTATAAAGCCATATTTTAGCCATCTAAAACATAAATTTTTACATAATTTTGTTTAATCAATTTAAATTTCCCACATCAGTATCTAGTACATCAACAAAGAAAATCAGGCAATTGCAGTGACATTGCTAGTATATTCTGAGCAGGGGTGAATATGTAATCGTCAAATCTTAAAAAATAAATTTTCGATCACTATTTCACTATTTTGTTTATAAACTTAAACACTATTTAAAATTATGTAGATGGTATTTGATTAATAATGTATGGTCTATTAACTCAATAGTAAGAGCTTGGTGTAATTACTGGCAAGGTCGATAGCTTGATCTTCTCACAGGCTATTTTTGTTAATGACAATTTCTAAAAATTCTTTAATTTAAATATTAACATTGATTTTAAAAAACAGTATTTAATACCTTTTTTATGTTCACTATTTTGAAATCAAATTTTCATATCAAATTATATTTATTAAACTCAAGAAATATCCAAATAAGTAATAAAAAAAACTGTTGATATCAGAATCCTAAAGTTATATGTTTGTAAATGATGATCGTCCAGGTTAATAAAGTCCTGAGAAGGACTGTTTTTGTTTTTGTTGACTGACGTTTCAACAACCTTAGCGGTAGTCATCTTCAGAGTCAAATGAGGAGTAAACGTCAGGTTAGCCGTATTTGTTATCTGGTTTTAACGTCATTGTATTGTGTGTACAGGAAATGTGTATTAGAGAAAATGGTTTGAACCCGGGAGTATCGTTATATGTTTGTAAATGATGATCGTCCAGGTTAATAAAGTCCTGAGAAGGATTGTTTTTGTTGTTGTTGACTGACGTTTCGACAACCTTAGCGGTAGTCATCTTCAGAGTCAAATGAGGAGTAAACGTCAGGTTAGCCGTAATTTTTATCTGGTTCTTACGTCATTGTATTGTGTGTACAGGAAATCTGTATTGTCATTGTGGATTAGTGTGAAGTGAAATATTTTATTTTTAGTTGTGATGTGTGATTTAGGTGTGACGTTTTTAGTTGTAATGTGTGGGTGTCAATTGTGTATTGTCATTGTGAAGTAGTTTGAAGTGTAGTGTTTTTAGTTGATAGTTTGTTTGTATTGTGAATAAGTCGTTTGTAAGGTGCCGGTAATTGCTGTGATCTGTTCAGGGGGGTTTGTTCCAAGTTGGTATACCAACTTTCTAATGTAAGCCGTTGTCTATAGTCAGTACTGTAAGTGATGCATTTTGCCGAATCCCAGTCAATGTTGTGCTTTGTGATTCGGTGATGTTCGGCAAAGTGATTAGTTTTGTCTTCTTTCTTAGTAGCTCGTTTGTGCTCAGTAAGTCTTATGTTTAAGTTCCTGCCAGTTTCCCCGATATAGGAGGCGTGGCAGTCGGAGCAGTTTATTTTGTAAACTGCACCTTGTCGTTCGTTGGGTTGTTCTTTGTCCTTTATATTCTTTAGTACTTGTCGTAACGTTTTGATTGGTTTATGTGCGACACGTATGTTGTATGGTCGTAAGATACGCGAGATAGTCTCAGACGTACCTTTGATGTAAGGTATCGTTGCTGTTGTCACTGAGTTGTTCGTTTCGTTGGGTTCGTTGGGTTTGTAAGTGTTGCGTTTGATAAAGTCAGAGTTATAGTTGTTTTTGTCAAAAACAGGTTTGAGATAGTTGTTTTCGTTTTGTAGAGCGTCC